AAAAAAAAAAAAAAAAAAAAAAAACTAGAAAAAAGGTAAGAAAGAATAGTCGAAGCGCATACAAAACTTTGTGCATTTAACAATTTTTCATTAGGAACGCATAATTAAAAAGGTATTTCAAGTGTATACGAGTTACGTAGAATCACCCTAGATATATAAGCTCGTGAAAAAGGGTGTATAGTAAAGAAGAAAACGAATGAGAAAGAAAACAAAAATAACAATAAGATGAAAAAACGAAGAAGAAAAGAAACTGAGAGAGAGAGCGAGAGAAAGAGAGAGAGAGAAATAAAAAGAGAAAAAAAATAGAAAAAGGAAAAAAAAAATAGAAAAAAAAAGAAAAGCTGAAAAACTTTGTCGAAAGAGGGAAAGAGAGAGAGAGAGAGAGAGAGAGAGAGAGAGAGGGAGAAGGAGAGAGAGAGAGAGAGAGAGAGAGTTCTCTTTTTCCGTTCGTACTCAATGTTCTTCTCGTTTCTACGTTTTGTTCTCAACGACGCGAGGAAAAACGTAGAAGGAAACTTTAAAAAGAAAGAAAGAAAGAAAGAAAGAAAGAAAGGAAAAAAAAAATAGTAGAGAAAATAAAGGAGAGAAAAAGAGATAAAAAAGAAAGACGAGGTGAGTAGTCCCAAGCTCGTTGCGATTTTACGCGAAGAGAGAATTCTCCCTTCTTTTCCTTGAATGAAACGTCGACGCCATTCCGGAAAGTAATGACAACATTAATTACTCCTATTTCCTTTCTATTCGCAAGCTTTCATTAACCCCCTTTTTTTTTCTATCGAAAACGTTTACTTTAGAGTCGATTGTTTTTTTTTTTTATTTTATGATGACGAATATTCAAAAAAACAAAACAATCATATTGATTTTGCTTATTTCCTTTCACCATTTTTCTTAATTTTCCCTATTAGTCGCCTCTTACGACAAGCAGGGATTACTGAAGGGGGTATTCTAAACCCGCCCCCTTCACGGGGTATATCATTATTATTATTATTATTATTATTATTATTATTATTATTATTATTATTATTATTATTATTATTTTGGCTAAATATATTTTGTTAAGTAAATTAAAATGACAATAATTGTAAGAACATAATAACTATTGTATATATAAATGAAATAATATATAAAATAATAATAAATTATATAATAAAATAAAATAAAAATAAAATAATATATAACATATATATATTTTTATAAAGAAATGAGTAATAAAAATAAAAATAATTTATTAAGAAGAAGAAAATATTTATCATATATAATAAAATTACATATTAAAATTATTATATATAATAAAATTTATATATATATATATAAAGAAAGAAAAGAGTAACATAAATAAAAATAATTTATAATAATATAATCTATTAAGAAAAATATATAAGAAAAATAATCTATTAAGAAGAAGAAGATGATTATTATATATAATAAAATGTAAATATATACATAAAAATAAAAGTAAAGAAAATAAATGTGAGTAATCTAAATAAAAATAATCAAGACTATAATTTACGAACAATTAAACAGATAAAATAATTCACCCTTATAGGTAGGAATAATCGTAACATCTTCAAGACGATGTCAATTTCGTGAAGGAATGAGAAACTCGTTGATGCGACGTTTAATACGACGAGGATAGATAGATACATAGATATAGATATAGAAGTCTCTGTTCAGATAGTCGATAAAGTCCAGGACCTTGAGTTACCCTAGTTCAAGCGATGTTGTTGTTGAATGAGTTGTTAGTCCAAGAACGATACTGCTTATTCCAAAGGACCCCACCACCATTCGCAAATGTTTGTCTTCCTTTCCATTCTCGCGTTTCCGCGGCTGTTCGTGCAATGTCACCGAATCTTCCCGAACACGAACTGGCAAGCACTAAGAGATAAGGTTCTAAACTTCCAAACTTGTCTATTCCTACACTAAAACAAATCTATGTGCTTTTGGCGTCTTTCCTGTACCCCTACCACCACCATCACCCTTCCCCTCAATCCCTCCTCTTCCCTAAATTTAATATAAAGGAAGAAACATCAGCGTGTTTAAATTGTTTCTATTATCTATTAAAGTGTTTCTTTTTGTTTTTTTTTTTTTTTTAACATAATTTTGTAACAAGATTCTAAACAAACGATCAGTACACAAATACAATACACATACATTACATACATTGATATGCTTTTATACAACTCAAATGGTTTAATAGGTGTGTTACATTATAATTGATATTTATAAAATGAACTTTCTTTTCTTTCTGTTTAATTATTCAAATATTAGGATAATTTATTGAGAATTGGTTGAGAACAAAAAATCATCAAAGTTAAAGAAAGTAAACCTCTGGTTGATCGTAAAACCTTGAGATGTATCGTATTGGATATTGAAATAAATTGAATAAAATACAATCCTAAGATTGATCAAATAGTTTGTTCTATTCGATGTGTTACAGTTGTTATATACAAACTCGTAAAGGAAAGAAATTTTTTAACAAACTTCAACAGCTTTAGCAAAGATCAAATCGTCAATTTTTACTCTTTTACGTACTACTATGAAAAAGAGAAAAATAGAAAGAGAAAGAGAAAGAGAGAGAGAGAGAGAGATAGTACCAACCAATAAAATCACGCGAGAACACGATTCTAGTTCTATGTGAAAGTTGGCGCAAATCTGCGCCAACTTTCCTCCTCTTTTACGAGAAGGAACTTTACGATGCGACAAGAAATTCGCACCGTATTCTACAAGAGAATTTCTATCTCTCTTACTCTTTCTCTTTCTCTTTCTCTTTCTCTTTATCTATATATATATATCTCATTCCCTTTTTGTCCTTTCGTTTCTCTCTATCTCTTTCTAGCATGGATTTTCTAACTTTACGATTTACCATTGAATCGATTGTGGATTGTTATTATTGCAAATTGAATTCTAACGATGACGTTTCTTTTGAAGAATCAGTTAACTGTTAGATTTTAACATTATCTTCCTCTTCTGTAAATGTAATATTTGTAGAGAATACTATAATTATAGACTTTCAAAAGTACAAATCATTATAATTATTAGTAATGAATTCACAAGCAACGTTTTATCTTATAAAAATAGTTCTCATTTGATAAAACACCTCGATTCGATAATTGCAACTGATATTCGTGAATTAATAAAATTATCGATTAAAAGTAATTTATCATTACTATTATTCTCATTATTATTAATATTATTATTATCGGTTAATTTAAACAAAAAATACATTTTAGAGATCAAAAATCTTGTATTGTGTCTTACTTTTCTATAAATGTAATATTTGAAAGAATATAATACTATTATATATATAATATATATACAATAATAAAATAAATAAAATTTTATTAATTATAATTTATTATTATACATAATATAATAATAAAATAATAAATAATTAATAATCTCTATAATATATAGTATAATATTATAATATTATTTATATAATAGTATTTTATTATATAATTTATCTAAATAATATATTATACTTTATATATTATAATATTATATTATTAACTAATATAATATTATATGAATAATATTATAAATTTTCGAAAGTACAAATTACTATAATAATAATAATAATCATTGTTATTATTATATTTAATTAAATATATTATTATTATTATTATTATTAATAATAATAAATTCAAACAA